CATAAATCCGCGCCTGTTACAGAGTACAGACGATTGGTGTATGACGTCATAGTACTGATTCGAAAGCATACAGCATGCAGTGATTGACATGAAGCAGCTCAGTACAGAGTACAGACGATTGTATGACATCACAGTACTGATTCGAAAGCATACATCATACAGTGATTGACATGAAGCAGCTCAGTACAGAGTACAGACGATTGGTGTATGACATCACAGTACTGATTCGAAAGCATACAGCATACAGTGATTGACATGAAGCAGCTCAATACAGAGTACAGACGTTTGGTGTACGAGGCCTAAAAAAAAAAAATTTGGTTCCGGTTGGTTGTCAGTTGAGGTCATGGGTCGGTAGGTAATTTTTTTTTTTTTTTTTTTTCAGTGGCAGCAAGGGATGGGTAGGAAATTATTCAGGGCTCGACATTAAAGGGATAGTCAAACCTAAAAATATCAAAATTGAAACTACTGTGGAAACAAAGACACCTACATCTTGGATGCCCTTGAGTTAAGCTAAAACATATCAAAAATTAATTTCAAAGTAAACTATCCTCTTATTAAGCCTTTTCACGTGCTTGTCCTCCGGACAAGTAAGTAAATCTGTCAATCACTTGTCCGAGTAAAAAAGTTGCTTGTCCGGATTTTTAAAATGTATTTATTTTTTTATTCTGAAGCAATATTCTCATCAGTGTTCAATCAGCTTTGATATTTAAAAAGGCGAATTGTAATATATGCACCTTTAAGGGCATCCCCATCCACCAATATTATTAAATGCCCTATAGTGTCTTATTATTCTAAATAATTGAATTTATTGATCAAATTTAGGAATTTAAAATGAAAGATGAAGCATACTGTTACCCTAGGTAGGGCTGATGAAATTAAATCATTTACACTGAAAAATTACAATTTCATAAAATAATGTTATGAAATTGATTTAAATGTGCAAATAAGAAATATTGAAAAGAATTATACTAGGCTACTTATAAACATAACACTAAACTGCCAATAGGTGGCGGCAGGCGGCCGTATAAATGAGTGAGTTATTGATTCATTAATTCAAACGATTCGTTCAAACGGTTGATTCATTCAAGAATGAGACAGTTGATGTTTATGAATGGGTCATTGAATCCTTGACTCAACCGATTCGTTCAAAATGCTGAATCATTCAGTAATGAAAACAGGATGAGTTCCTGTGAGATGCTTCGTGGTTCTGCTGTGACTTTTCTTTGGAACTATTTTCGCTGCTGAAATGGAACAAAAACACCCAATATTGCTTATAAACAGTAAGTGACTTAATCTTAACTGTTTATTGAACTGTTGTAGGAAATCAATGTCACTTTTTCAATCGTGATGGTATTCAGGAAAAATAATTGAGGCTGCTTAGTGCTTAACATATGTTAAAATATAAAAACTCCACATTTAGATTTTTTATAGGCAGAGTATGTTGTTAACTGTGTGTGTGTGTGCTCCGCTCATGTGTGTAGATTTCTCTGCGCGAGCGTCAACAGCGCAACCTTACCATCAGTAATACAGTAGGCCTGCTACATTTATTATCCACAATCGATCGCAACTTGCAATAAATGTAATAAAATCAGAATCATTCTCTCGGTTTAGTGATTCCCTAGCTATTTTTTTGTTTGTTATTGATGTTCAGGCTACTTGTCCGTTGAGGCGAGTAAAATTCTCTTTTACTTGTACTTCAAAAATCCATTTGTCCCGGAAAAGCGGTCAAGTTAGACGGGCTCTAGAGATACGAACCGCGGCAGGTTAGAGTGTTTTGGATTGCATAAAATAATGAAAGAAACGAACAAATACATGGCGAAAGAAGTGCTAGACAGCAGAAGATGTGATTGGGATCATGATTGGATCATGATAGGATGATTTTTTATAAAACTATAGGCGGATGGAGGTATTAGTATGTGGTGTGTGCATGCCTATGAATGCATGTATTTGTATGTGTGCGAATATGAATAAAAATATCCTAAATTACAAAAAAAGACTTGTATAATATGTATTATAGTTCAGTTTGACGAACGATATCTGCCTCGTTTGTTAATAGATTGCTGGAGGACAAGATGCATCTTACATCGCGTGCTATAAAAAGACGGAGCTGTACAAAAACGTAAATTAATAGTTCGCCTCAGAGTTTTTTATTTGTGTATTTATTTAATTTTTATTATTTCTTCCCCAAGCTCATAAAATAATTTGGGGTCGCACATAAATTGACAGGGTCGGTCGGAAACCGGAAACAAACACATTTTTTTTTAGTTTATTTTTTATTTTTTTATTTTTTTAACGCCTGACATCAGTACTGATTTGAAAGAAGAAAAAAAAAGAAAAAAAATCAGTACTGATTTGAAAGCATTTTTTATATTTTATTTTTTTTATTCTGAAACAATATTCTCATGAGTGATCAATCAGCTTTGATATTTAAATCACCATATTGTAATTTCTGCACCGTTAAAGGGCATCCATCCCCCAATATTATTAAATGTATGCTTCATCTTTCATTTTAAATTCCTAAACTCGATCAATAAATTCAATTAATTCGAATAATAAGACACTGGCTGTTAATATAGCATAAAACACCTGCAGACAGAAACAATCTCGTTTAAATATCAGATCACACGTCGAGGACACACGTTTTGCTGCAAAACCGGGAGTTTCTCATGCGCATTTTCCGTGACCACAAAGCGCACGTTAAGAACGCGAGCTTTTAGATTTTATTTATTTGCACATATAACATTTAAAATACAACTTTACAAGTCCATTAACGGAAAAAAAAAAAAAACTGTGCGGGAGAAAGTGAGAAGACCATGAGGTCTTATCCCCAAAATCTCATTAAAATGGACATAAAATTACATGATCAAGCAAGACAATATAATCAATACATCAATCATGTTAATACAACAAATTAACAAAATAAACTTAATTATATGTTAACATTTTTTCAGCTCTCTTTTAAAAGTGTTTATAGTGATTTTAGTCTTTAAAACAGGGTCCAAATGATTCCAGAGGGAATTCCCTCTGTATTTCAGTGTAGATTGATTAGCTGTAGTTCTACAAAAGGCAAGATACAAATCTTTACAACGCCTGGAATAGGCATGAACATCCGAAGAATACATGAAAAAATGATTGAAAGCTCTGGGCATAATATTTGTCATATTCACACATACAAATATTTATGCAATATATGTTAACATTAAATATGGTCAAGATGTTATATTTTATGGCAAATCGCGCGTCCCTTGGCTGTCGAAACGCACGCGTTTGACGAGTCAATCAGACGCCTGACCGCGCGACAACGTTGCTTCCATTATGAGAACGTACATTTGAAATGACAAACTTGAGTGCGCAAAAGAAGCGATCTGTGAACGGGCCCTATTCTTTGTCTTACCAAGTCATGGTGTTCATGTGAACAATGAGCCTCGTCTACTCTCCTTGCAAGGGTGTCGAAGTCTGGACAAAATATGTACAGTGACATGACATCACTGCCAGATTCAAACTGTGCGCTCGCTGGCGCTGAGCCAGAGATGGACGCGCTCAGCGCTTGTCATATCATATAAAGTGTTGGGCGGGCCGTATGGCCAAACTTAATTCATTATTATTATGAAAATTAAACATTTAAATTGTTTTTATTAATCTGTTTGGGTGGGACACCTGTCACTCTGGCCGCCCATAAATCCGCGCCTGTTACAGAGTACAGACGATTGGTGTATGACGTCACAGTACTGATTCGAAAGCATACAGCACACAGTGATTGACTTGAAACAGCTCTCTACAGAGTACAGACGATTGGTGTATGATGTCACAGTACTGATTCGAAAGCATACAGCATGCAGTGATTGACAAGAAGCAGCTCAGTACAGAGTACAGACGATTATGACATCACAGTACTGATTCGAAAGCATACATCATACAGTGATTGACATGAAGCAGCTCAGTACAGAGTACAGACGATTGGTGTATGACATCAGTACTGATTTGAAAGCATTTTTTTTATTTATTTTTTTTTACTCTGAAACAATATTCTCATGAGTGATCAATCAGCTTTGATATTTAAATCACCATATTGTAATTTCTGCACCGTTAAAGGGCATCCATCCCCCAATATAATTAAATGTATGCTTCATCTTTCATTTTAAATTCCTAAATTCGATCAATAAATTCAATTATTTCGAATAATAAGACAATATATGGCTGTTAACCTAAAACAAATGCAGACAGAAACAATCTCGTTTAAATAGCAGATCACACGTCGAGGACACACGTTTTGCTGCAAACCCGGGAGTTTCCCATGCGCATTTTCCGTGACCACAAAGCACACGTTAAGAATGCGAGCTTTTAGATTTTATTTATTTGCACATATAACATTTAAAATACAACTTTACAAGTCCATTAACGAAAAAAAAAAAAAACTGTGCGGCAGAAAGTGAGAAGACATGAGGTCTTATAAAACCACTTCCCCAAAATCTCATTAAAATGGACATAAAATTACATGATCAAGCAAGACAATATAATCAATACATCAATCATGTTAATACAATAAATTAACAAAATAAACTTAATTATATGTTAACATTTTTTTCAGCTCTCTTTTAAAAGTGTTTATAGTGATTGTAGTCTTTAAAACAGGGTCCAAATGATTCCAGAGGGAATTCCCTCTGTATTGATTAGCTGTAGTTCTACAAAAGGCAAGATACAAATCTTTACAACGCCTAGTGGAATAGGCATGAACATCCGAAGAATACATGAAAAAATGATTGAAAGCTCTGGGTATAATATTTGTCATATTCACACATACTTATACATAAAAATATTTATGCAATATATGTTAACATAATGTAACCCTTATTACTAGATAGTAGAAATAATGTACATAGGTTTAATAGTCTAAAATAGCACAGAGGTTATTATGAATACGATGTGGACCAGAATCAGCAGACGCTAGATTTTTAAGAGCCTGAGACTTGAACATCAAATAAAAGAATACCACACCAGAATGACAGTTTAGATAACCTGTATTAAACTCACAAGGTAGTACATACATACAAAAAACACATTTATGAAAAATAACAAACTAAAATAATAAAGTGCGCACATAAACAAAACAAAACCCTCTTTTCAGTACTTTTGAGCTCAGTTTGTCCTCGGTTCACCTTGCCTTTGTAGACAAGAATGCAGTTTCAACGTTGGGGCCCTTTATTTTTAGGTTGAGTTAGTGCTTGTCCTACCACAAAGAAGATGAAGAGGATGATCCGGACAGTTCATCTAAAGCGATTTGATTCGTTGTCAAACACGGTTGGCTCGCCACCCAGCCACCTGGACTGGGAATCAATGAGTCTCTCGAAGAACGTTCGGAACGTCTGGATCTGTATCTCTCCAGGACCTCTGCACGATGTTTCCCACTCTTTACCAAAACCTGACCTATAAATAAGGCCAAATCATTTCTTTCAAATTCCATTCAGTGAGTAAATGAACTGCTACAGGCTTCAACAAAAAATAAAATGAGATAATATTTCAGTACACCTTTAATAAAATATAAAAATCTCTTTCTTGTTGTACAACAGCTCTTTGTTTTATTTTGTTTTCTTTTTCAAGTATCAAAACTATGTGAATTTCTCTCTAGTATCAAAAGTAAATTTACATAAATTGCATCCTCTCTGCATGTCTTCACAAAGACAATTTAAGATTCATGAAACCGTACGGTAGTAACATTAATGTTTACATGCAATTCCTGTAGTTTTTTTAATCAAATTGCATCACTTTTAAATTAGAGGCATTAAGGCGTTAGTGTGCTTATTTATCCCCCTCTGCACCGGTAACAGTGGAAAGAATGCACTAAAAATTTACCTCTTTAAGCTTCAGTGACCACAATTAAATCCACACTTTTTAACATCACTATTTAACAAACTAACAGTATGAAAAGTTAACATTTCTTCTTTTATAACCCACAACTAAACTTATTGATTTCAAAGACATTAACCAGTATTTCACTAGCCTATTATGGCTAATTATCTTATTAACATATACACACTGTAGGCTTTACACTTTTAGCTTTACACAAAGAACACCTTTGCATTGATTCACACATTAACACAATTAACAGAAATGCTAGCGATCTCAGAGTAAACTCAGTAGGCTATGTTAAATACAAAAAAAATTGGGCATCTAAAGCCTGGCCCGTTAGCATGAATATTAGCGAACTCCGATGCCTAGATAAACAACTCACCATTTTAACGGAATCCATTGCCTTTAGCTCCGTGACAACAGTGGATACAGGCACAGCTTTCGTTTAAACTCTATATTACAACAAGGTATAATCAGCATAAGCAATAATGAACTTAATTTGCTCTATGTTTTTTGTCTTTCATCTTACCAAGCAGATAACGCAGCCTTCTATGCTCAAGTGCAAGCGCCAAAAGAACGTGCAGTGACGCGAAACTAGAGGTGTAACTGTAACAGAGCCTAGCGGGCAGCTGATTGGTCCGCTCACTATCTCACAGAGCTCACCCATTGGCTCACTTACATGTCCATCAAAGAGAAGAAATAAAAGTTAACCCTTTTGTGACTGGTCAGACGGCTAAATAGTGTTTCTCATTATTAAGCCTGGCTACACTCTCCCCCTTGAACTCATGTACGTCCCTGTACATGGCAATGGTTGAACTGTTTGTATCTCAGGGTACAGGACAGAAGGATACGCGTCGTCTTCACCATCACTTAAAATGTCAGCCACAGCTGTAGTTAACCCCTGAAAAAATGATTTAACAACTGTGACAAAGGGGTTTCCGAGCTCAGTATAGTCAAGTCTCTTTGACGGCTGACGGTTTCTTTCTGATCTCCTGACTGTTTTATCCTTTGTTTCCTCATCTGGTTCTTTACTTCCACTACGACTCATCTCCTTTCCACTCTCTAACATGTCAGAGGACACTTGAAGCTGCTCGGTTTGGATGTCATCATCAAGTAAGTTTTGTTCCTCCACAGGGTTTTTACTGCCAGGTGAGTTATTTTCGGTCATAACAGTTTCCTCAACTTGTTCATCAAGCATGACTCTTTTGGTAAGCAGGTCCTCAGCGTCGTTGTGGTGACAGTTAGGATCATTAAGTGTGAGGGGACTATCTGAGGCACCATTGGACATGTCAGGTGGTTCGTTAATTTCAGCAGTGCAATCCACATTTTGAGCATTTACAGGACTCTCAACAGGACAATTTCTTGCAGGTTCAGTATGCTGTTTATCCTGCACAGTAGACATAGTTGGATCAGGCTGCACTAGACTGTCATGGATTGTGGGAAACTGAGCATTTGGGGGTTCTCTGAAACAGTAAACAGGAATGATTTCATCTTCATCATCTGAGAGTTGATTCTCATCCACAGTAGGATTTGCCCGGGTTGCTGGCCTGCGCCTTGCGGGCTGCTGGTCAGGCGCCTTGTTGACCTCTGTAGGCAAGTAACCACATGGAAGGAGTAAGTCCCTATGCAGTGTTCTCAAAGGACCATCCTGATTTTCAGGTTTGACTGTATAGACGGGCAGGGTACCTGCTCTCCTCACACACCACATGGACAATTGACTCCCACTTGTCTGAAATCTTATGTTTCCCTCGAATGCGAACGTTTCTGACCAATACTCTGTCTCCAGCTTCCAAGTCCGAAACAGTCACATGCCGGTCATACCTCATTTTGTTCTTGTGTGCTATCTTTGCAGCATTTTCAATTGCTATCTTGTAGCTGTCTTCAAGTCGTGACTTCAGGTTTTGCACATACTCTACGTGTGATGTTTGCTGACCCCCTTGCACTGGCAATCCAAACGCCAAATCAACCGGCAGACGAGGCTGACGTCCAAACATCAGTTCATATGGTGTAAATCCTGTCACCTCATTCCTGGTGCAGTTATAGGCGTGGACCAGGGGTTTTACAAAATCACGCCAACGAGATTTCTCTGGGCTTTCAAGAGTACCTAGCATGCCTAGTAAGGTGCGATTAAATCGCTCAACGGGGTTGCCCCTAGGGTGGTATGGGGTTGTTCTTACTTTGTGTATGCCAGCCACTCGACAGAGTTCCTTTATTGTGCGGGACTCGAAATCACGTCCCTGATCACTGTGTAACTTTTCTGGCATTCCATAGTGAACCATAAAGTTCTCCCACAGACACTTTGCCACTGTGCGGGCCTTTTGGTTAGGTGTTGGTATGGCAACCGCAAACTTAGTAAAGTGATCTGTAATCACTAGTATGTCTTTGGTCCCACTCTTGTCAGGTTCAAGGGAGAGGAAGTCCATACAGAGGAGCTCAAGGGGTCTGGTGGTGTTAATGTTTACCAAAGGTGCAGCTCTCTCAGGCAACGCCTTCCTCCGTACACACCTACCACATGTTTTGACTTTTCTCTCGACATCCAGAGCCATCTTTGGCCAAAAGAATCTGGTCCTTACAAGATCCAGTGTACGGTCAACCCCCATATGACCCATGTGATTGTGTAGGCTGGTCAAAACTGTGTCACGCAGTTCAGCTGGGAGCACAAACTGATAAAAGGTCTGAGAGCCCACTTGGCGCCTCCGGTACAAGATGTTGTTACGGAGTTCAAGGCGATTTAACTCCCTCAACAACAGTGGAAGCTCAGTGAGTTCATGTCGCAAGGTTGGGGGTGGTTTTTCTCCCTGCTCGATCTGGGAAATTACATGCTTTATACTTTGATCAGCTCTTTGTCTACTCGCAAGCTCTGCCACAGTTAGGTGGGGGATAACCGGCAACCCACCAAGGTGATCTTCTTGCCCATAACTGTCAGGCACAGCAGTAGCTGAGATAGCCAGAGATTCAACTAAAGCAACTCCACCTGAAGAATCTTTGCCATCATAACTGACACTGTAAATGAGCTGTCTCTCACAGATTGCTTGCACCACAGCTTGATCTACTGCATCTATATCTTCTGGATCAGAGAGGTGACTCTGAGTAAACTGTCTTATGCGCTCTCTTTCTTTTTGAGATTTACAATCATCAGCCAGCTCCCCATGAGGCCTGCGCGACAGTCCATCTGCATCGCCATTTTGCTTTCCTGGACGATAGAGAAGTTTGAATGAGAACGTGGACAGTGCTGCCAGCCACCTATAGCTTGTCGCATCAAGTTTTGCTGATGTCAGTATGTATGTCAGCGGATTGCTGTCAGTAACAACGGTGAAGTGGTGGCCGTAGAGATAATCACTGAACTTTTCTGTCACTGACCACTTGAGTGCTAAGAATTCCAACTTGTGTGCTGGATAGCGACTCTCACTCCTTGACAATCCTCTGCTTGCATATCCTATGACTCGACACTGACCCTCCTGTTCCTGATACAAAACAGCACCGAGTCCAGTGGTGCTTGCATCGGTGTGGAGTACATAGGGCTTCTGAGGATCAGCAAAACCTAACACAGGGGCGGAGGTAAGGCTCTCAATAACCTGGTCAAATGCCTGCTGGCAAGCGGATGTCCAGCGGCTCCCAAAGACCTCCTTTGGATTTCGGTACTGACCTGCTTTCTCATCTGACTTTAATTTCTTGTGAGAAGGTGGGTAACCAGAGGTTAGATTGTGGAGGGGCTTAACGATGTTAGAGTAGCCCTTAACAAACCTCCTGTAGTACCCAGCAAATCCAAGAAAAGATCTCAGCTCTCGCAGGTTTTTTGGGACTGGCCAAGTCTTAAGAGCAGCAATCTTCTCCGGATCAGTCTCGACTCCATTCCTGGAAACTACATGCCCAAGATAACGGACTGACGTCTGGAAGAAAACACACTTTTCAGGTGATAATTTCAACCCAAACTCTCTAAGGCGTGTGAGCACCTTCATCAGCCTTGCTTCATGCTCCTCTAGAGTCTTTGAGAACACAATCAAATCATCAATAAAGACTAGAACATCCTTTAAATGCATGTCCCCCATGCACTTTTCCATGAGTCGTTGGAATGTACTCGGTGCATTAGTCACTCCCTGAGGCATTCGGTTAAATTCCCAGAACCCAAGTGGACACACGAATGCAGTCTTGGGTTTGTCTGCTTCCTCCACTTCGATCTGGTAATAACCAGACTTTAAATCAAGGACGGAGAACCACTGGGAACCACTGAGCGCTGAGAATGTGTCTTCCAGCTTTGGGAGCGAGTATGCATCTTTTATGGTCTGAAGATTCAGACGCCTGTAGTCTATGCACAACCGGACTTGGCCATTCTTTTTCCTGACCACCACTATCGGTGACGAAAACGGTGACTCTGACTCTCTGATGACTCCTGCATCAAGAAGCTCCTGAATGTGCTTGCGAACAGCTTCAATGTCTTGTGGGTGTATCGGTCTTGCACGCTGTTTAAAAGGAGTTTCATCTGAAAGTTTTATGTTGTGTGCCACTTTATCTGTTCTGCCAAAATCCAAGTCATGTTGTGCAAACACGTCGGGCATGTTGTTGAGCTGCTGAGTGATGCGTTCTCTCCACTTAGATGGAATTGGGGACTCACCGAAATTGAAAGTTTAGGTCCTGCCTGTTGTTTGACTGTGCCTCTGGTGACTTTGAGAGGGGTTCTGATTGTTTTACTACACTGTGCTCCTGTAACAAGATGCTCTGGTAAGCACTTATCTCTGCAATCGCACATTTAGCAGGAATGACTATATCATGGTCAGACTCATTGCTGATGACCACTGGTAGCTTATAGGGCCGCTGCTGAGGAATGTCGACTAAGCTAGTCGTTACCAGCAAGCCACCCGGCAAGGAGGGTAAAGATGGCTGCTCAATGACTACAAACTTCTCATTCTGCAAGCAATAGGCTACAGCAACTCCCTCAACTACTACAGTTTCACCAGCTGGAATGATTTTAGAACTTCTGCCTTGCAATGTTACTACACTGGGTTGACTGTTGTTGATCTGTTTTTGTCTGAGCTCAAGACATTTAAGAACTGCTTTATAGCCATGTGGAATTGGTTGATGGCGGGTCAATCCGGCGTCAAAGTACATGTCATACAGTACATCCAGTGTATTGGTGCCTATAAGAACAAGAGACTGTGAAGTAGCTTGAATGTCAGGAACAACCAAAGCGAGTGTATTTACATCCATTGACGCTCCAATGAACTCTTTTGGAAAGGTTATAGTCATTTCTATGTAACCCAAGTAGGGTACGGACTGTCCATTCGCTCCTTCCACCTCCAAGAGATTATATAGTGGCTTAATCTCCTGCTCTGGAAAGTGCTGTTCGTAAAATGACCGGGGAACTGTTGTTACTTGGGAACCCGTATCTAGTAAGCAGCTGACTTCTTCACCTTCTATGTTGACTTTAGCAGTACTCTTTGTACCGACCAA